CTGTGCTCAATGCTGGTATGTCAGACTCCGGAGGGGCAGATCCTACCCAAGCGCTACTTTTGATTGTGAACTCAAATCTACTCGAAATGAATTCAATTTTTTTCACATAAGTCCGAAATGACATAACGAAGCTATTTCAATTCTCGGAACCACAATCCGAACCCGATTTCATCAAAATCAACTCTCAGTCAAACTTATGAACTTTCCATACCTTCAAATTATTAATTTTCGCCAAATAGTGCCGAAACCTTCTAGAAACATCCAAATACAAATCCGGGCATATTTTCAAGTCTAAAATTACCATCCGGACCTAACGGGATAATCAAAATTTCGATCTGTGGTCAAATACACAAAACTCAAACTTGGTCAACTCTTTCAACTTAAAGCTTCTAATATGGTTCCGGGAATTGAAATAACTATTCATTAGCATTCATAATCAAAACTAATGGCCCTTGTCCAATTACATGCAGCATGCACAACTAATCAAGAATTCATTCGAAGATCAAATGAAATTTTGATTTATTAAAAGAAAGAGCCATCTAAACACAGGGATGGCGGCTGCTTAGCTACTAATGGTTCTGCAAGTACTTCTTTCCACAAAGCAGTTATAAGCAGATTTTAATGAGCATATTGATTTTGGACCGTATGTCATCCACCAAGATTATTGCTTTTCATCTTGAATATATCTATTGCATCTGTCTGCAATAACAAAAAATCACACTCATGGCTAGAAAGCAATAGAATAAGTTTTTCATGCTTGCAGAATGCAAGTAAATAGCAAAGAATTGAGTCACTATAACATCCCTCAATATGCTCAATCGGCTCAATGGAGTTCACAACTGTTAGCACAACAGAAACTCCTAAACTGAGGTGGAATTCTAATATTGACATCAAATTAACGCATCCAATCGGGCTCACTTGTGCGCTCTCCTAGCTATGTGAGTATATGCTTCTTTTACATCAATCACAATTTCCAGGTTTTTGATTTCCTTCAAGTAAAAAAAAGTTGATTTCTCTCATATCAGAATGCAACTATATTTGATGATATTCTAACATGAAAAATCTAATACAAAAGCCATGTATCCAACTCAATTAAGCATCACACTAAAAACATGGTTACGAATTGACCAAAATATAGAAATGATATCAAGCAGAAGATTATAATATTCAGAATAGCACACGAAGACACAAACAATACAACAACAAAGAGTCGGCAAGGCAATGGAAAAAGAATAAGCATCATCGTAATGAACAAGAGAGAGAGAGAGAGAGAGAGAGCCGGTAGAAGAAGCAGCAGAATGAGGAGGAGGAGAAGAAACATAAGAAGAAGTGTAACATTTGGAGTAAGTACTAACCTTGGTTGTTACTACAAGTAGATAAACGATTTATTAGTTGAATAGCATCTTGTTGCGCAGAGGAAGCTTCTCCAGGTGAACGAGCACTAAAATTTAACAAGTTAGGATCAAGTCGTAATCCTGGATTCAGACATCGAAGTTGTGCAACGACATTAAGTGTAATTTCTTGTTCCATAACATCCTTTTGTGCATTGAATTTTTCTTGCATTCTTTGTTGCGTCCTCTCTTCCATTTCCTACATTTTTTGCTGCATCCTCTCATCATAACATTTAAAGAGAGTCCAAAATCTCCCAAAATCTTCACTTTCTTGAGTTGATTGTATCTTTTTAATTTCAGCCTATAAATCGAATCCAACATAAGAGAGTTTAAGTAAATAAAATTAAGTCAATTTAAGAACAAATAAATGATCTCGACAAACTTTAAGTTAGAAATTTCATACAATTTTACTAATTGTATTCTCATAGTAGCCTTTGTATACTCGACCAGGTTTTTATTCATGTAGCCACAAAGATATGCTTACTTGATTATCAGAAGTTTCCTTCTTTTTTGCCTGGATACACAAAAATTGATAGAAAAAACTTTTCATGTGAAGCTAACAAGTTCATACGGGGCCCAACAATGTTTTAGTAACTACACTTTAGGAAAGTAAAAGCTGCATCACGAAGGATTAGCATAGAAGCAATTATAGACATTCCAAATTTTTCCTTCTTTAGTAGTACAAGCTTGGTTAGCCTTATTGATTGATAAAAGAAGGTGAAGGAGGATAAAGAGCATTATACAAAGAAACAGTGAAATTATATATAAGGTCATAGCTAGCAATTAAAGAACTTGTCCATATAAATCATTGTTTGCCTTCAGAAGAAGAAGAAAACTTATTTAAAGTGTACACAAGATTACTGAGAAATAGCAACACCACAACTTCACCTAGCTGATTGAAAATAACCCACATGAAGCATGAGCTATAATTTTTTATTTTTCCTCTCGTCTTTTGCCCGGTAAGTTGTCATTGTAAGCACACTAGAGGGAGTAGATTCATGAACAAGTTGCAAAACTTTACAACTTGTGATGACTTCTGTAACTTTAATAGCCTGTTTGGCCAAGCTTTTTTTTTTTAGGCAAAAGCGCTTTTTTTGTCAAAAGTGCTTTTTTTTCTAAAATTAAGGTGTTTGACCAAGCTTTTGAAAGGGAAAAAAGTGTTTTTGAGGAGAAGTAAAAACAGTTTTGGAGAAGCAGAAAAATGTAGTTTCTCTCCAAAAGCACTTTTTTGAAAAGCACTTTTGATAAAAATACACTTAGAAGCAGTTTTTTAAAGCTTGGCCAAACACTAATTGTTGTTCAGAAGTGTTTTTCAAATTAATTAGCCGAACACAAACTGCTTCTCACCATAAGTACTTTTGAGAAAAGCACTTTTGAGAAAAAACACTTCTCAAAATAAACTGATTTTTACATGGCAAAACGGGCTATAATTAACGAGGAAGACCACACAGAATAAAAGAAAGGAGGTGAGAAGTAAGGAAAGGGATATCAAGTTTCCATTTTTGATTTGATTAAAAGAGAGAAACTAATAAAGGTGTGTCATTGGACACTAATATGCAAAACACTTTTGTCTGTTCATAATGTTAAATGCTCTCTAGGCATAACAAAAAGTTTGATTGGAAAAAGCCTCTTTTTAAAGCTTAAATCTTTGTTATTAACTTATTAGTCCCTTTATTTAATTATTCTTTCTTCCTCTTCCTTAAATTCGTCCAATCATATAAACAATCTATTCTCCTTCCTTACACTCTTTTCTCTCCCTTTGATCAGGCCATATTTAAAGCACAGACACACACTATGATATGATATGATATGAGTCTCCTAGATTTTAGAATACAAATGCCAAAATATTTTATCAGTCTATAGCCAGCTTAAGTTTCACCATATTGCTACTGTGTTTAACCATCACCATCTATAAATGCCAAGAACAACTGCGAAAATAATGCTACTCTGATTTCTATTGCAGAGGCCTGCTGCTTGCACTGAGCTAAGGATTATGAGTCTGCAAAATAACATAGATACTAGATGAATCTTTTTTACTATAAAGATTATCATATGAGATATCAAAGTAGTGAAGAGTTGTCTTTTTTCAAAATAAGAAAAAAGGTAAGTAGTGAAGTGTTCTCTTGAACTACAACACTTTGCTTGTCACCAGTCAACCTAGATCAAACTACTCTATTTAAAAGAAAGCTAAAAAGTGAAAATAATAAATTTTCACAGCTAAATTCTTCTTCTCCTTCTTTTTTATTTTCGGCACAGAAATTTTCAGTTATTAAGGTCCAATCAGAGTCAAGCGAGAAAACTAACAGCTGCAAATAGTCATAGATGTGAAAAAGAGATTTTACTAAAGACATGCAAGCACAAAACCAGCAAGAAACTAAGCTTGAAAACCAACAAATACCCACCAAATTCAACTACAAAGTAAAGCGTGCAACGAAGAAAAAGTAAGAAAGATAATACTCACCTGAGCTCAGGGATACAAATGAGTTGGAACCAAAAATGAAGGCAAAGAAGATGAATACAAAAGCTGAAAAGTAACTTCTTCCCCCTCTCTCCACAGAATAAATAGATAAAAATCATCAGTCGTCTCTAGTAAAATTATTCTCACTTCTTCAACACCCAATTGGATTTTAAAAGCAAACTCTTGCTTGCGTAACACCTTAAGCCCAACCAAATTGTAACAGAATTAGCAGAATCTACATGACTATTGATTCTGGACTAGTTACAAAGCGCAGGAGTTGGGGGACAGCGAAGTGTATTAGAGTAGCTGCGAGAGAAGTGTTAGGGGTCTCGAAGGGTTTCTCTGGCAGCCAAAAAGGTGACTGGTAGTGGAGCAAGGTGGTACAAGATAAAGTGGAATCCAAGCAAGCAGCGTACTTAACGCTTATAGAGAGCATAGACCAGGAAGCAAGAAGGAAGAACATGGAGGGGTATAGGAGGGCTAAGAAGGAGGCAAAGTTAGCGGTTACTGCGGCTAAGACTGCGGCGTTTGGGCATTTGTATGAAGAGCTTGGGGCCAAAGGCGGGGACAAGAAGCTATACAAGCTAGTCAAGGTGAGAGAGAGGAAGGCCCGTGATTTGGATCAAGTTAAGTGTATCAAAGATGAGGAAGGGAGAGTTTTGATGGAAGAGACTCAGATAAGACAAGATGGCAGACATATTTTCATAAACTCCTAAACAAAGAGGGTGATAGGGACATTGTTGCTAGGGACTTGGAGAACTCTGATATGTGTCAGGATTTCGGGTATTGTAGGCGCGTAAGAGTAGAAGAGGTCGAGGGGGCTATACGAAAGATGCATAGGGGTAGAGCTACCTGATCAGATGAAATACCTGTGGAATTTTGGAAAAATACGTGTAGGGCAGGTTTGGAGTGGCTCACTAGGTTGTCCAACGTCATTTTTTACGACGAAGAAGATGCGCGATGATTGGAGGTGGAGTACGATGATTCCTCTGTATAAAAATAAGGGTGATATCCAAAGTTGCAATAATTATGGGGGGATTAAGCTACTAAGTCATACTATGAAAGTTTGGGAGAGGGTGGTTGAAGTGAGGGTGAAGACCAGTGTGTCCATTTCTGAGAACTAGTTCGGTTTCATGCCGGGGCGTTCGACTATGGAATCCATTCACATTGTGAGGAGATTGGTGGAGCAGTATAGGGAGATGAATAAGGACTTGCACATGGTGTTCATTGACCTAGAGAAAGCATATGACAAAGTTCCGAGAGAGGTGCTCTGGCGATGCTTGAAGGCTAAAGGGGTCTCAGTAGCCTATATTAAGGTGATTGAGGACATGTATGACGAAGCTAAGACTCGGGTTAGGGAAGCGGGAGGAGACTCGAAACACTTTCCGATTAGGATGGGGTTGCACCAGGGATCAGCTCTTAGTCCATACCTATTTTCCTTGGCAATATATGCATTGACGAGAAACATTCAAGGTGAGGTATCATGGTGTATGTTATTTGTTGATATCGTAGTTTTAATTGACAAGATGCGGGGTGGTGTTAACGAGAGGCTGGAGGTTTGGAGACCCTAGAGTATTAGGGTTTCAAGTTGAGCAAGACCAAGATAGAATATATGGAGTGCAAGTTTTGCAGCGGTACTCGGGAAGGGGATATGGAGGTGAGGCTTGATACGCAAGTCATCCCCAAGAGAGGTAGTTTCAAGTATCTTAGATCTATAATACAAGATAACGGGGAGATTGATGAAGATGTCACGCATCGTATCGGAGCAGGATGGATAAAGTAGAGGCTCGCTTCCGGGGTCTTGTGCGAAAAGAATGTGTCGCTGAGACTTAAAGGTAAGTTCTACAAGGTTGTAGTAAGACCGACTATATTGTATGGAGCAGAGTGTTGGCTGGTCAAGAACTCTCATACCAAGAAGTTAAAAGTAGCTGAAATGAGGATGTTGAGATGGATGTATAGGCATACCGGTTAGATAAGATTAGGAATGAAGTTATTGGGGTAAAGGTGGGAGTGGCCCCTGTGGAAGATAAGATGCGGGAGGCAAGGTTGAGATGGTTCGGGCACATTAAGAGGAGAAGTATAGAAGCTCCAGTTAGTAGGTATGAGCGGTTAGTCTCGGTGGGCAGCAAGAGGGGTAGAGATAGGCCTAAGAAGTCTTGGGGAGACGTTATTAGGCGGGACATGGTGCGGCTGGAGTTGATTGAAGACATGGCCCTAGACAAGAGGGTGTGGAGGTCAAGGATTAGGGTAGAAGATTAGTAGGTAGTCGAGAATTTCTTTTTGTCTTACTCAGTTCGCTAGCATTAGTATTAATATGTTATCTTTTATTCATAGATGGCTATTACTACCTAGAGTTTGACTGCATTCTTAGATTCGATATTATTTCATCTTGCTTTTATTCTAACTTATTGCAATTACCTTTCTTTTTCAGTTGTTCTCTAGCCGAGGGTCTTATCGGAAACAGCCTCTCTGCCCTTCCAGGAGTAGGGATAAGGTTGCGTACATCTTACCCTCTCCAAACTCCACTCATGAGAAACTACTGAATTTGTTGTTGTTGTCATCGTTGTACATGACTATTGATCATGTGATTCATGTTTCTCACACAAAATGTTCCCCAAATATTTATTGATTCCTCAGTTTCAACAGTTAAATACTTTATCAATTCATTAGGAAATGAGAACAGATAAAAACTTAGTATGCTTTATTGAGTTTACGGAAAAGGGTCAAAAATGACCTTAACGTCTTGGAAATGGCTCAAATATACCCTCCTTCCACATATTGGACCATAAATGTCCTTAACATTAATTTTCGGATTACAAATGCCCCTCCTTCTAACAGAACTATGACATGGTATATGGGGGGCTTTGCATTAAATACGTGGCACTGGTTTATTGGTATACATAAAGCTATGAGACCCAGCACAAATAACCCGACCCATTTAGACTTACCTTAAACCCGGAACCTTTTATCTCAAGCCTACTTTCCATCTGAAGATTGAAAGCCATTGTCACATAAGGTTGAAATTCTCTTGCACGTTAAAAGAGAGAAAAAAATGGTTTAAGGATAATTTAGAGTTATACCCCTTTAATTTTTTATATTTTTCTTCTCTTTCTTTTTTTTCTTTTGTTTGAAGTGATTGTATTTTCTGTTGTTGATAAATTATAGATACTTCAACTTGGTTTTTGATTCTTATAGCGACGTATCTTTTAATTATTGGAATATCCAAAAGAATAGTGAGAGGCCGACGTCCCTTAATATATAGACCCGCTTACTAGATGAGTAAAAATCAAGTGTAAGTTAAATTCAATAATTTATTTACTCATTCATAGTATTAAACATTTGATCTCTCATGTTTATTCATGAATTTTTCTCCGGCATGTGTATTCATGAATTGTAAAATATAAGCGATGGAATGTAAATTTGGAATGAAGGAAAAAATGGGGGGAAACAGTGCTTGGAAGCCACAAAAATGGATAAGGATTCACCATTAATAACAATAAAAAATCTTTATCATCTCCTTAAAATCAAGTTAGCGGAGAAAGAAAACACCTTGAACCCATTGACAAGTGACAACCATGAAAAGTCTCCATCATCTTTTGAGTGTTGTTTTCCAAAGAGAGAGAGAAAGAGGATTTGGTTTTGAGGAAGATGAATTATTTCTCGAGAGGGTTTGGTTTTTGGATTAGTCTTGGGTTGGGTCTAATATTTCCATGTGTACCAATAAACCAGTGCCACCTATTTGATAAAAGCCCCACATATGCCCTGTCATATATAGTTCTGTTAGAAGAAGGGGTATTTGTAGTCCGAAAATTAACGTTAAGAGCATTTATGATCCAATAGGTGGAAGGGGAACAAATTTGAGCAATTTTCAATATGTTAAGGGCATTTTCGACCCTTTTCCGTTGAGTTTAATCTGATTCTATCTTTCTTTCTTTTCTATGGAACACAAACAGTGGTATTTAAAGGAACATATAGTGAGATTTAAGAAACACTTTTGAAGATCTCATCGCATAATAAAAAGTTTACCTTGTGGGAATCGGAATTTCAATAGTTAAATAAGATTCTTAAAGTGAGATTCCGAAATATATATCAACCGACTGTTTCCCTATATGAAGCCCGTCATTGTCATAGGCTTCAAAGTGATCATTCTTCAACTCTTATACGTTCTCCAAGCAACCTGAATTGTATGAAAAGCTCATGATTTCGCTTTCCCGGGAATGTCATATTTTCTCTATAAATATAGTACAAGTAAGTTGGTGCAAAATAATATGAAATATCATCTACACTTATTAAAAATTAGATCCAGTATACTGTGGCGAAATAGTACCATGAAATCAAATACCAAAGGCCAAATATCTAAGCGGCCCTTTAAAGTTGGCTCCAGTTTTCATTTTAATACTTTAACTAAGCTCAATACCTATTGAACACTTTAACTTCAATAAAAATGTACCTATTGAATACATATGATGACATGACATAGTGTCTGTAATTACACGCTCTTTTGAGAGCGTGGAAAGTAAAAGCAAAGGAAATACTCCTTAATTTTATTTTTTTCTCCTCTCTTTAATCTTATTTTTTTGTCACCATCATCTCTAACACGACTCCACCATAGCCACGACCTTTGACACCAAATTCCATCCCTACTAATCAGTCACTGCCAAACCACCTAAACTTAGAAGCCTCTTCATTGTTGAGAATCTTACTCCACTGTAGTAATATTCCAATCTAAGTTTAATCATAATTTTGAACTCTAACTTTGTGTGGTCAACCATAGACTATTACAGTCTATCTCGATTTTGAGATTTAGGGAATAAATTTGGAGTTTTAATTTCATTTGAGTTGGAATTTGTTAGCTGAAACCGTTTGCTGGATGAGAATTAATTTGAGGAGAAAATTTGACCTCCATTAAAGGAGCTTCGAGCTTGAATTAAAAAAAATGATCCGAAAACTTTGACTAGAAATCAATTGGGTGTTATAGATTCTTGTTGGAAACATTTTTGAAAATCTGAATCTAATGTTTGAGTGCATTTTAAGCTGGTTCGAATTGGGTTTTGGTTCAAATTTTTCGAAGTCTTCATTGCGAGAAAGACGACCTGGCTTCCTTGAATTCATACCTATTTTTTGAATTTAATCACTGATTTATGTTCGAATTTACGAATATGTTTATTTCAATTGGTTGTTGTTTGCTCAGATTAGTGATTGTGTGTGGTTCTGCTTGTTAATTGGAGAAGACGAAGAAGGGGTTCAGCGAGGAACTGCAGTAGCTAGGGAATTAGGCCGGTGAGGAGTTGGGGACGATGGTAGGTGGGGGGTTGCAGCGAAGGGGTTGTGGAGGGCCTTTTTCTTTTCTTTTTCTCTGTTCAAATTTGATTTTTTTGTCTTGCTGACATGTTATTTTCTCATTGGTCTTGTTTGTCAGGTAGATAGCAAGTGATATTCACACCCCAAACACAATGTAGAATTATTAAATTTGTATTTAATCGGTACACTTTTATTAAAGTTGAAGTGTTCAATAGGTATTGAGCTTAGTTGAGGTGTCAAAATGGAAATTGGAGCCAACTTTAAGGGGCCGACTAGGTATTTGGCCAATACCAAAATACTTGATTGTAGGTTTGTCAGTTAAAGTGCAATATTCTTGTCACACTTTATCTCTGCCTCCTTTTTATTTTAGTTTTATTGAACTCTGTAGTTCATCAAATTAGAAATTTTACTTAAAAGATGTGACATATTAGGTGTGTTTGGTAGGACGGAAAATATTTTCTTATTTTCCACTGTTTGGTGGCATAAAATAGTTTGGAAAATATTTTTTTAGACATCACATTTTTCTGAAATTGGAGGAAGATGACTTCCCTAGAAATTTTCCAAAAACTCCGCTTACCCTCACATCTCACCCCAACCCCCTCCCCCTTCTC